TTGTGTCTGCCTATCTGTAATAACTTTTTTACACAATAAAAGGATCTTTAGGAGTGAATTGGCAGTAACAACCTTATTTTAGTTTTGCTTCTAAACCAGTGTTTATAATTTAAGCTACTCAGAAGGTGGTTATTAGGGTTTTTTTAAAGAATTTAATGAGAGATTTCATAGCAAGCCAGAGTATAATTGTTAGCTGATTATTATAGCCACAAAGTTTTTAATTTGCTAGTGGGTAACTTATTTGGCAGGTTATTACCCATCTTTGATTATTTTAATACCACTGTTACTCTATCAGAAAATAGAAAACTGGATGGTTAGTAAAGGAAAAGAGTGATATGTATGTTTTAGACAAGACAAGGGGAGTTACAGGAATTGATTATCTTAATAGTGTGTTAGATTGTTACGTATTAGGCAGGCAAATCAGTTAAATGGGAAGATCTTCATTCGATTTTGAGTTTAGTTTAAAAAAAGGGGGGGAGGCCAAACAAGGTATATGATGGAAGAAGATTCGCGTGTCTGGCTGTTTTTGAGGCATCTGCTTTGTAGTATTTCAGATTATTGCTATGTGCAAGCTTGAAGAGGTCAATATTAAGCCTGTTACCTTCCCTGTAAAATGGGTGTAATTTACCCAACTGGTTTCTAACTTGGCTTTTATATTAAGGTAAAAAATACTTAGCATAGTTCTTGGCATTTGCAGTAAGTGTTTCATTGATGTTACTATCCTGTTAAAACCAGTTATGACCCTATAAAATGAAGGAATTGGGCAAAGTTAATCTTGGTGTTTTTCCAGTTTCAACAACCAGTAGTTTGAAGTTTAAATTGTTAAGATGGAAGGGGAACCACACTTTGGAGCAATTTTGTGTGTTATGTTAATGGCTGGTTTTATATAGTAATATTCACAAAAGACACAGTTAAGCATTATTTTGATTTTATAGGAAATTGAAGCATACAGCAGTTTATAATTTAACTGGTCATTGAGCACAAACAGCTGGGTTCCTATCTCTGTTTTACCTCCCACATGTAATTTTTAAACCCAGGGCTATAATTTTAAAATCTTTATCTTCAAATCTTGACCATGTTACCTTTTTTATAATAGCAGGGTCATGATAATTGATAATTTCCTCAATACTATCGTTAGCATGTTTGCTCAGATAATTCTAACAAAACCATCACTATTGCAGTTAAAAATGATCCTGGAATGTAATTTTCATTAAAGATCTGAAGCATAGCAAACGCACTGTTAAGCTCTTCTTTTTGTAGTTTTGTATTATCAAAGAAAAATGCTTGTTACAATTTTTAAACTTTTCCCAGTGGTATTGTATAATACATTTTCTTAGGAGGACATTTTGTTTATCCTACATGCTTAATCTGTTTTATTGGTGAAGTCCTTGAAATCATTGACCCATGCTGTATCTATTTTTGAGATACTCAAGCTATTTTCTCTTCTGTTTCATACCTTGTGTGGATTTCTGGACTTCTGTACCTTTTTTCATATTATTTTAGTCTTTAGGGTACCAGTCCCTAGTCTGCTGAGCCAGTTTTCTTCTTGAAGAAGAAAATGAAGTGAGACACAGTGATATACTCTTAATCTCTTAACATTTGTGAAAACTGGTTTTTACTTGCCTCTTGGCCTTATAATTCTTTTTTTTTTTTTTTTTAATCCTCACCCGAGGACATTTTTCCATTTTTTTGTTCAGGTAGAGTGGGAGGGAGAGAGAGGAACAGAGAGAGAGAGAGAAACATCGATGTGAAGGGACACATCGAGTGGCTGCCACCCGCACGACTGACCAGAGCCGGGGACAAACTGCAACCAAGGTACATGCCCTTAGCGGGAACCGAACCCGGGTCTCTCAGGACCGCAGGCTGGCGCTCTAACCGCTGAGCCAAACCGGCCAGGGCTAATTCTTGATTTCAAATGTGGTGCATGGTTATTTCTTTTCCTTTTATATTTTTTTGGGCTATGTTAAATGAATTTAGAATCCTAGTATTTTACGAAAAAAATAGAGTTCTCCAGTTTCTTGCTACTCAAAAAGTTGCCCAGAGAATCACCTGAAAGCTTACTATAAGTGCAGAATATTAGCCCCTGCTCCAGAATCTGGATCTGTATTAATCCCCAGATGTTTGTGTGTACATTTTTGAAAAGCACTGCTGTAGTTCATTTCATTCTCTGGTTTTATTTATAGAGAAGAAAACTGGTCACTTATTTAACAAATAATCTTGTATTCAAAGGGCTCAGAGTTAAGACAAAAACCTGTGTTTTGGATATGTTTGAAATTGGGAACAGTTTATCAAAATGAGTCCTCCAATAAAGATAGGCACAGGGTCCCTTTGGGCTATGGGGGATTGGGCCTAGGGACTTCTCAGAGGAGTTGACTTTTTTTTTAATTTTATTTTTGTTACAGATGTTTCTCCTTTTTTACCCCATTGGCACCCTCCTCCCCATCCCTCCCGCCCCGTCCTGGGCTTTGTTGTCCATGTCCATTGGTTATGCATACATGCATATTAAGTTCTGTGGTTTATCTCTTCCCACCCCCTCTTCTGAGGGTTGTCAGTCTGTACCCTACTTCCATGTTTCTGAGGAATTGACTTTTGAGGGTGTACTGGGCTGCCAAAAAAGGGGCTAGCTTATGGGAAGACCTTAGAAGTGTGAAGATGGTACATTTGGGGTTTGCAAGTATAGTTGCCCCTAAAACTGGGTTTGAACAGGGTGAGTCTACTTAACACGATTTTTTCCCCAGTAAATACATAGTTGGCCCTCTATATTCCTGAGTTTCATATCCAGGGATGCAGAGAGCCAATTGTATGCATTGTTCTAAGCTATTTTATTTTTGTTTTTAAAATATTTTTTCTTTATTGAGTTTAGAGAGAGGAAGGGAGAAGGAGGGAGAGAAACATTGATGAGAGAGAACTTTGGCCGCCTCTTGCATGCCCCCCACTGGGGATTGGGCCCACAATCTGGGCATGTGCCCTGACCAAAATCGAACTGGTGACCTCTTGGTGCATGGGTCGTTGCTTAACCACTGAGCCACACTGGCTGGGCATGTTCTAAGCCATTTTATATAAGAGCCATAAGCATCTGAAAATTTTGGTATCCATGAGGGGTCCTGTAACCAATCCCCTGTGGATGCCAGTGGATTGTAGGTAAGGTTTTGGGGAGTCAAAAGTTATGCATGGATTTTTGGCGGCTCGAGATCAACATCCCTAATCCAGTGTTCTAAGGGTCAACTCCATACATCAAAGCATGAGCTGCTGATGAGGGAAAGAGATTGGACTATAAATTTTGCTTTTGTCCTAAAGGCAATGATAGCCCATATTTACTGAACACAATGTGCCAGACATGGTTCCAAACATTTCACTCAAATTAATCTTCATAATCACCTTGTGGGGAAATACCAGTTTATTACCACCTTTATAGACAAAGAAGAACAAATCACAGCAAATGCAGACAACCTTCAAGTTCTGGTAGTCAGAGAATTCAAGAGTGAGGGAGTGGAGTAATAAATGCAGCAATAACAAATGGAGGTCAAGTTAAGAGCTGAAAAATGCCCATTGGATCTAGCAAGTACACTTTTTTTTTAATCCTCATCTGAGGATATTTCTCCATTGATCTTCAGATAGAGTGAGACGGAGGGAGAAACATCTATGTGAAAGAGAAACATGGATTGGCTGCCTCCTGCACGACCCACGACCCCAGTCCTGGGGATCCAACAGCAGTTGAGGTACGTGCCCTTGACCAGAATCGAACCCTCAACTCTTTGTTCTGCAGGTCATTGCTCTAACCACTGTGCAAAACGGGTCAGGGTGCAAGTGCAATTTTAATAGAAAGGTATGTGCACATGTCAGATTAAGATGGTTTAAGGAGTCTACTCTTGAAAAAGTAAAAGGGAGTAAAAACTTCATGGTGGCTTGGACAATGGGGCACTGGAGTCACATCTGGACTTGAACTCTGTCACTGCTGTGTGATGTTGAAACTGTCCAAGGAAGCCTTTTTCCTCATTCATAAAATGGGATTAACACCTACTTCACAGGGTTGTGAGGATTAAATTAATGTAATGTGAAGTATCTGGAACATTGGTACTCTACAAAATGGAATTACTAAGGTTGAGGGGAGGGTTTTTAAAGATGAGAATCAAAATACATATATTTTTTATTGATTTTTTTAGCGAGAGGAAGGGGGAGAGAAATAGAAACATCCACGTGAGAAACATCGATTGGCTGCCTCCTGGACGCCCCCTACTGGGGATCCAGCCCACAACCCGGGCATGTGCCCTGACTGGGAGTCAACCTGGGACCTCTCGGTCCATGGGACAAAGCTCAATCCACTGAGCCACACCAGCCTGGCAAAAGATGAGAATGTTTATAGGTTGAGATGCTACATCAAAAGAGTTTGAAAGTAAAGGTCTATACTGCTAGGAAAGGGTGGTCTTGTTTCACAGTAAAGCCTGTTGGGTCTAGTGTTCGTGCCACTTCTAAAGTCAGGCAAGAGAAGTGACCTCCAGAATTTCCATCTCTGGAGGAGCTTGGAAACAATGTTAGAAAGTGGGTGCTAAGGCTGATTTTTGCCCTAAAGCTAGGTATGCCTACCAAGCATTCTGTTTCTTTTCTTATGGGTATGAGATTGGGGGTGATGTGTGAAAGGGTTGATGGAGATTATGGTATGCTCACTCCTTTACAAACCATCTTTGAAAATCTCCCAGCAGCCCTAGTCAGGTGCTCAGTTGGTTAGAGCATGGTCCCCATGCCCCAAGATTCCTCTCTCTCTATCTCTTTAAAATCAATAAGTAGACATTAAAAAAGTATCGGTGCAGACACTTACCTGCGGGCTTTCTGGCGACTCCACGCCTGCTTGTGCGCGAGGTTAAGCGTGGGACATCAAAGCGTGCGCCCGCCTCCCTTCCCCCACCGCTGGAGAAAGACTTGGCGGGTCTCCTGCACGCGGGAGGGCGCCCGGAGCTGTCTCCTGGCAACCAGACTCCAGTCTAAGCACGGAGAAGGTCGCAATGGACCATCCAGATACTGCCATCATTTCCATCACAGTAAGGGAAGACTTGGGGCATGGCCTTTCGGTGGTCATGGCCTCAGTACTGCTGTCCTCCTCTGGCGCGTCCAACTACACAGTCTTCTTCACCGGACTCTTCCACCAAAAATCCCACCTCTCTAGTTGCACCCCTCCTGTTCTCCTCTCTGTTCTCATCACCTTGTTGTCCTTTTCTCTAATCTTTATTTGAGCTCTACTTCGTTTTGTTTCCTCTGTCCTTGCTATTCTCTTGTCCTTCCGATTTGCCCTTTGTTTTCTGTATTTTCCCCCTCTCCTATGACTAATGGTCGAGACAACTGCTTTAACAGGGTGATTGGATTTCTTTCATTTTCCTCTGTCGAGAAAATGGGTTTTTCATTTTTTTCAGTCTATGGACACGTTTTTGAGTTTAGGATTTATAAAATATTTTAAACTACCTTTGTTTAGTTTATAAATTTGGACTAGGGATGTTTAGCCTATCTTTTGTAAAGTGATTCACCCCTAACACAAATTTGAAGTGATGGGTGGGCAAAACAAAACAGCAGCTGCCAGTTGTCTTCTTTTGGATATATCATGTTTACTTGTCCTTCCCAACTCATTTTCCTGGCCCAGGTAAAGGTGGGAGACCTGTCTTGATCTGCCTGGGAAAGTTTGATTTCTGAGACTATAAGTGTGCAACAGAGAACATTCAATATAAATCTAATAAAGGACATAGATAGGAAGAAATTCAGATTAGTGTGTACAAAACAATGTCGATAAATGTACATACTTCATAGTAAAACTAAAGCCAGGGGTACATAAGTAGAATGGATATAAGTTGCTAGACAGGAACAATGAATTATATCAGTTTTGTTGATTCGATTGTTTATTATTTTTAATGCATTATTGTTTGAGACAACCCATATTTTATACTAATAACAAACATAAATGACAGTGGAAATCAACATTTTAATTATTTTACTTAGTGGAAATAGCACAAAAGGAAAAACTGAACAGTTGTGTTCTGTTTGTGTTCTGTTAACAGTGAGGCTGAATCAAATGTGGAAAAATAATAAAAGGGTATAGAGTACTTATTGTGGAAGACAAGAGCATCCTCAGAAATTGAAGAATACCAAAATAATCTGCTTCTTGGCAGATGAGATGTTAAAAATAAAAGCTACCATTTATTATTAGCACTGGTTGTGGGTGCAAGTGTTTATATGTACAATGCTCATGCCAACCCTGATATGCCTAATTTTAATACTCCTAAGAGGCTCATAAGGGCCAGAGTAATTTGCCTAGTGCTCTTAGCTAGTAAGTGGCAGAAAAGGAGTTCAAGCCCAAGTCTGTCTGGCTTCTCTATCAGTCTGACTCTTCCACAGCTAGCTGGACAACCTGAGAGAATTGGCTGTATCATAATTATATAATACATATTTGATCATGTATGTAAATCTAGGAAATGGCAGTTGGCAACATTTACCATATCTCCAGGAATTTGTATCCCAATATCATATTAATCTGATGACTACACATTTTGACTTTGAGTTCCCAGCACAATCACCTGAGCCATAAATCTTTTTTTAGGGTAAACCATCCAAGCAGTTTTTATTCATTAATACTCATAAATGCACACAGCAGCTTCATTAGAGATTTCAATTTCCTCTTCAGTTTGCATGTGGAGTATTAGGAGAGCCTTTTGCATGTCAAGGTACAGGAAGGAAGCAGAGATCACCCCTGCACTGCTACCTGCATTTTACCTGCTAGAAGTAAAAATTAGTTAGTGGAAATAATTGTGATATGTATTTTCTCTCTTCCTTTTGAATATATACAACATAATAAGAGCAACAGAACTGAAATTACAATCACTAAACAAATCCAAGATAGTTGTTCACTTTCATTGGTAAATACAGCACAAGGGCGTTGTCTGCGAATTAGGACATCCACAAAGATGAGGAGGTGGAGGCTCATTTTCTTTATTGTTTTCTTTTAAATATAGGTTTTCTAAAACATCTAATGGCATAATGTCTACACCATTCTTGGCATCAAAATCTGCCATGTCTCCCAGTTCATCCTCATCTGAGGTTGAGCTCTTTTCACCCACTAAAGTGGCCTGAGCCATACATCTTTTTTTTTTTATATATATTTTTTATTTTATTGATGTTAGAGAGAGAGGAAGGGAGAGGGAGATAGAAACATTGATGAGAGAACATTGATTGGCTGCCTCCTGCATGCCCCCGACTGGGGATTGGGCCCACAACCTGGGCATGTGCCCTGACCAGGAATCGAACTGGCAAGCTCTTTGGTACGTGGGTTGATGCTCAACTAGTGAGCCACACTGGCCGGCTGAGCCATAAATTTTAATCACAATTATAATAATACAATTTTGGATTTATTCAATTCTTTTCTTTCCAAGAACACCACGTTTTGTCACATCTAGTTATCCTTATAGCATCTCTACCACATGGGGATATTTATTGCTCTAATTTTCTCAAAGGGAATTTAGATATTTAAAAAAGCACTTAAGCCCTGTCTGGTTTGGCTCAGTGGTTAGAGCGTCATCCTGCAGACCAAAGAGTTGTGGGTTTGATTCTGGTCAAGGGCACGCACCTCAGTTGCGGTTTGGTCCCTGGCCCTGGTCCGGTTGGGCAGGAAGCAACCAATCAATATGTCTCTCTCACATCGGTGTTTCTCTCTCTCTCTCTGTCTCTACCCCTTCCTCCCACTCTATCTGAAAATAAATGAAAACGTATCCTTGGGTGAGGATTTAAAAAATAAAAACGCACTTAAAATAATAAAATAACAATTTAAAGAAATAATACAGGTAAAATTGATCATAATGTAGCTTTTATTTTAATTCAGACTGACCAATTTGGTGCAGGTATTAATTCAAGTTAATATTTTATCAATTATATTTAACTTCCAGGGATCACCTCTCAAATGAATAAGCATATTTTATGTTTGTTAATAGAAACCAACCAGGAAGACATCATCTTTTGAAAGAGAAGGATGGTGGAGAACAGCACTAACAGTATGTACTTTTCCATTCTTTTCTATTCATATTATTCTTATTCCTATTAATAGTTGATTTAATCAGTCTTACCTTTTAAGTTTCTAACACTTAATTCATAAGAAAACAGTAGACCTTATTTCATATTTATAATTTTAGTATTAGCATGTGAATGAGAAACTAAATTTTTAATTTAAAGGCTTGGAAAAGTAGAAATCTAGTTGCTTTACAGAATATCTAGGTAAGATTTATGAATTTGGTAAGATTGCACAAGAAAGAAAAAGGCATACATTCTGGAGAGGTTTTTGGGTTTTAATTTTTATCTTAGTTAGATGGCATAGAGCCTATGATAACTTATTTGTTGTTTTAATCCTCACTTGAGGATATTTCTAAAATTTATTCTTTTAGATAAAGTGGAAGGGAAGGAAGGAGAGAGGGAGAGAAGGAGAATGAGAGAGACAGAGAGAGAGAGAGAGAGAGACACATTCATTGTTGCCTCCCACACGACCTATGACCTAGGTATTGAACCTGTGACCCTTTAGTCCACAGATGAACACTAACCACTGAGCCAAACCAGCCTGGGTGTGCCTATGATAACTTAAAAAAAATTTTTTTTTTCTTCATTGATTTTTTTTCAGAGAGAGGAAGGGAGAGGGAGAGAGAGATAGAAACATCAATGAAGGAGAACATCGATTGGCCGCCTCCTCCCACTGGGGATTTGGCCCATAATCTGGGCATGTGCCCTGACTGGGAATCGAACCAGCGACCTCTTTGTTCTTGGTATATGGGTTGATGCTCAACCACTGAGCCACACCAGTCAGGCATGATAACTTTTATTAATTAATATGACCAACATATGAAAGCAAGGTTGTAATATATGAAAGTAAAATGACCAGAAGATTTCCCTTTCAAGAGACATCATTCCTATATTGCAGAAATATTTCCTATCTGCACCCTGCAATAACAGAGGGGCCCCATGGGCCATAGCCTTCTTGGAACTGAACTCATTTTAACAGTGGAACTGAGCTGAGTGTTCAGTGGAAAGATGGCTACAAAAGCAGCAGTGACTAAACCTTCAGGTTTGGCCATTTAGCCACATTGTGGTTGGGATTTGAAAGTACCAAACCCCTTATTGGACTAATTAGACGATATGCTCTGCTAATCTATCCTCCGCCTCATGTTATTATCCTGTAGCTTCCCACTTGAGGGCTACACAGAAACATGTACTATCTACTAAGCAGTAGGATAACTTGTATTTAGTCAAGAAACATCCTGAGTGGTGTCACAAAGGCCTGACACTTATAGTCAAATTGAATCTCAAGTTTAAGTATCTGTGAAGCTACTTTTTAAAGAAGTTAAAACTTCAATTATGGCCATAACCCATTTGCTATAACTCAGCAATTGTCTCAGAAAGAATATAATCATGATTCTCTTGAGCTAGTGTTCTTGTCCATAGCGTTTACTATATTTTAATAGAATTTTATTAAACTTTAAAACAAAGAGAAATGTTGCTTAGGAGGCACCCTTTAAATGCTGCTTTCAGAGATGATGCCAGTTTACATATTGACCTGAAAAATGATGTCAATTTTCCACAGAATACTCCTATCCCTGGCACTTACCACTTGAAAACTTTTATTGAGGAATCTTTATTAAATCCAGTGGCAGCAACCTACAATTTTAAAAATGAAGGAAGGAGAAAACCACCTCTTGTGCACAGAAACAATCCAGTACTAAATGACCTTCCCCAGTACATGCCTCCTGACTTCTTGGACTTGTTGAAGAAGCAAGTGGCCACTTACTCATTTAAAGATCAACCGCGGTCAAGCCCCAGCTCTTTGGTTTACAAAGATCAGGTAAAGCGCTGGCAGCAGCTGGGTTTTTGTGGGAAAGCTACCAAGAGCCCTGAGGAAAATAATTCTATAGAACTCAGAGTGAATTTTCCCCTGGAGAAATTAACAACCTTTAGGATGCCTTATTTTCTACAGAAATCAAACGAGAGGTGCCTAATTTGCAAATATGTCCAGCAAAATTTTTCCCTATGAGGCCTCCTCAACCTAAGGAGAGAACATGGGAGAAAATGTTCCCTCTGGAGGTAATCTTGGCAGGATTCTCCCAACTGGGGGAGCCTCTGAGATCTTATCTGTGGTTGGACCCATGCTTCTGATTTTTTTCAAGCAGTTTATACAGTGTACTCTCCTTTTAAAAGGAAATTCTGCCTTTTGGTGAGTAAGTACCCTTATTAGAATGTGGATATAACCTATAAACCATAGGGAATCTATATACCATAGGGAAGCTTTCCTCAAAATTTCTTATAGAAATGAGCACTGTGGTGCCAGGAAGGTAAGATTCTACTCTCAGTTCTACCAGTTCATTCATAACATTGATAATATAGAGCACTGCTATATTTATAGCCCTGTGCTAGGCTCTGTGGAGGGAAGATGTTCCTCACTTGGAAATATTTAAGTAACAATACAAGAGCAAATATATCAAATGCTGAGATAAATAGTGTAGAAGGAAATGCCAGGGGAGAGTTCAGTGTAGGCTGGATTGAAAGGTTGGAAGTTCCCCTGAATGAAGTGGGATTCAAGCTGGACCTTGAATAATACATGACATTTATGTGGCTCTTAATAATTCACTGTGAGCTTCTACATATACAGTATCCTCTTAGCAATTCTTCCCAAGCATCCTGAAATAGGCAGAAGAGATGTTACCCCATTTTATATGCAAGTAAACTGAGGTGAATAGAGGTTAAGTAACTTGTTTAGAGGTACATAGCTAATAAGTAGGGGGGCTACTACTTTTAATTGAAGGTTTCTGAGCCCAAATTCACAGTTCTTTCCAACTTACTCTATGCCTCTGGCCATGAATAAGGGGCAGGGTTTGGATGGGTGGAACCCAAGAGCTGTGTCTCAAGGGAGGGGCATAGCACTGTCCTGTTTTAGAGGCAGAGTTGTGACTTGGACTTTGTTACTTAGGACTTTGGACCTAAATATCTGCCATTTATAGGGAAGCTGGTAATAGTATTAGTCTTCACAACCTTATCAGAATATTATTGTGATAACCTGAGAAGAAATGCATTGCAACTGAAAGTTGCACTAAATACAAGTCGTTGTAGTTATTAAAATGGACAAGAATTTTTCTGTGGGAGGAGTGCATGTTTTATCCAAAGTGGAAACCCATCCCACTGCTTTGCAAATTATAGCTTTGAAACAGAACAGAATAATAAAAGTCCACAAGGTAAATCTTATACTATTCACTTTAGTGGATGAATACAAACACTAAATTATATTTATACTTTTATGGCTTGGTATCAGGTCATCATGCTTCAAGTGAAATCATTCTGGCCACATCCAGTGCAAAATCATTCTTCCTCATTCTCCACCACTATTTACTTCCTTTCTGCTTCATCTCGTCTTAGTTTTAGGGGTTTCTGAGAGAAAACACAGGAGGTTGGTATTAGGGAAAATTTAAAGCTTTAAAAGACCAAAAGAATTTGGCTTACCCACATGGATGGATAAAACCTTCTGAAACATATTTTTTCTGTTTCTTCTTTACTTTCTCCTCTCTCTCCCCATACAGTGGGTTGCCTTTCCATTTTGATGGTTGTTTCTTTTGCTGTGCAGAAGCTTTTTAGTTTGATGTAGTCCCATGTGTTCATTTTTTCCTTTGTTCCTGTTGCCTTAGGTGATGTATCAGTGAAAGTTCTGCTGCGTATGATGTCTGAAATTTTGTTGCCTACATTTTCTTCTAGAATTTTTATGGATTCACAGGTCACATTTAAATCTTTTATTTCGAGTTTATTTTTGTGTATGGTGTAAGTTGATGGTCTATTTTCATTTTTTTTTGCATATAGCTGTCCAATTTTCCCAACACCATTTATTAAAGAGGCTGTCTTTACTCCTTGTATGCTCTTGCCTCCTTTGGCAAATATTAATTGAGCATAATGTCTTGGGTCCATTTCTGGGCTCTCTGTTCTGTTCCACTGGTGTATATGCCTGTTCTTGTGCCAGTACCAGGCTGTTTTGATTACAGTCGCTTTGTAGTATAACCTGATATCTGGTATTGTGATCCCACCTACTTTGTTCTTTTTCAAGATTGCTGTGGCTATTCGGGGTCTTTTTTGATTCCATATGAACTTTTGAAGTATTTGTTCTAATTCTGTAAAATACAGAAATACTCGTTGGTATTTTGATGGGGATTGCATTGAATCTATAGATTGCTTTGGGTAATATGGACATTTTAATGATGTTAATTCTTCCAATCCATGAACAAGGTGTGTGCTTCCACTTTTTTATATCTTCCTCTATTTCTTTTTTCAATGTCCTATAGTTTCTGCAAATAGGTCCTTTACTTCTTTGGTTAAGTTTATTCCTAGGTATCTTAATTTTCTTACCGCGATGGTAAATGGGATTGTTTTCTTAGTTTCTCTTTCTGTGAGTTCATCATTGGTGTATAAGAATGCCATCGATTTCTTGACATTAATTTTGTATCCTGCTACTTTGCTAAATTCATTTATTAAGTCTAGTAGATTTTTGATGGAGTCTTTAGGGTTTTCTATGTATAATATCATGTCATCTGCAAATAATGACCATTGCACTTCCTCCTTTCCAATTTGGATCCCTTTTATTTTTACTTCATATCTGATTGCTGTGGCTAAGACTTCCAGTACTATGTTAAATAAGAGTGGTGAAAGTCGGCATCCCTGTCTTGTTCCTGTTCTTAAGGGAAATGCTTTTAGTTTCTGCCCATTGAGTATGATGCTGGCTGTAGGTCTTTCATATATGGCCTTTATTATGTCGAGATATGATCCCTCTATTCCTACATTGCTGAGTGTTTTTATCAGAAATGGATGCTGGATTTTGTTGAATGCTTTTTTAGCATCTATTGATATGATCATGTGGTTTTTATTCTTCATTTTATTTATGTGGTGTATCACATTTATTAATTTGCAAATATTGTACCAGCCTTGCATCCCTGGGATGAATCCCACTTGGTCATGGTGAATAATTTTTTTGATGTATTGCTGGATCCAATTTGCTAGTATTTTGTTCAGGATTTTGGCATCTATGTTCATCAGGGATATTGGCCTGTAGTTTTCTTTCTTTGTAGTGTCTTTATCTGATTTTGGAATTAGAATTATACTGGCCTCATAAAATGAGTTTGGAAGTCTTCCTTCTTCTTGAATTTTTTGAAATAGTTTGAGGAGAATGGGTGTTAGTTCTGTTTTGAGTGTTCGATAAAACTCCCCCATGAAGCCATCCGGGCCTGGGCTTTTGTTTGCTGGGAGAGTCTTGATTACCACTTCAATTTCCTTAGTTGTTATTGGTCTGTTCAAGTTTTCTATCTCTTTCCGGTCCCGTTTTGGGAGACTGTGTGTTTCTAGAAATTTGTCCACTTCGCCTAGATTGTCGAATTTGTTGCCGTATAATTGTTCATAGTAGCTGTTAATGATCTTTTGTATTTCTGTAGTGTCAGTTGTTACTTCTCCTCTTTCATTTCTGATTTTGTCTATTTGGGTTCTCTCCCTTTGTTTCTTGGTGAGTCTAGCTAAGGGTCCATCAGTCTTGTTTATCTTTTCACAAAACCAACTCTTTGTTACATTGATCCTTTGAATTGTTTTTTTGGTCTCTGTCATTTATTTCTGCTCTGATCTTTACTCTTTCCTTCCTTCTACTTGCTCTGGAGTTTTCTTTTTGTTTGCTTTCTAGTTCTTTAAGTTGTGAGGTTTGATAGTCTATTAGAAATTTTTCTTGTTTCTTGAGGTAGGCCTGTAGTGCTATGAACTTCCCTCTCAGAACTGCTTTTGCTGCATCCCATAGATTATGTGTTGTTGTGTGTTTATTTTCAATTGGTTTCCAGGAAGTTTTTAATTTCTTCCTTGATCTCCTCGGTAACTCATTCATTGTTTAATAACATGCTATTTAGCCTCCATGTGTTCCAATGTCTTTGCATGCTCTTGTTGCAATTGATTTCTAGTTTAATGCCATTGTGATCTGAGAAGATGCTTGATATGATTTCAATCTTCTTGAACTTGTAGAGACTTAGTTTGTGTCCTAACATGTGGTCTATCTTTGACAATGTCTCATGTGCACTTGAGAAGAAGGTGAATTCTGTATTTTGGGGTGTAATTCTCTGTAGATATCTATTAAATCCATTTGGTCTAGTGCTTCATTTAGAGTCTCTGTTTCCTTGCTAATTTTTTGTCTAGAGGATCTATCCAGTGATGTCAGCAGGGTGTTGAAGTCTCCTGCTATGATTGTATTGCTGGCGATTTCTCTTTTGAAGTCCTCCAGAAGATTTTTAATATATTTTGGTGCTCCTATATTGGGTGCATATATGTTTATCAAGGTTATATCTTCCTGTTGGATAGATCCTTTCAATATTATGTAGTGGCCTTCTTTGTCTCTAGTTATGGCCTTCATTTTGAAATCTATTTTATCAGATATGAGTATTGCTACCCCAGCTTTTTTTTTCCTTTTTGTTTGCTTGGAAAATTTTTTTCTATCCCTTCACTTTCAACCTATGTGAGTCTTTTGTTGTGAGGTGGGTGTCTTGTAAACAACATATATATGAGTCATGCTTTCTTTTTTTTTATCCTCACCTGAGGACATTTTTCTATTTTTTGTTCAGGTAGAGTGGGAGGGGGAGAGAGGAAGAGAGAGAGAAACATCGATGTGAAAGGGACACATCGAGTGGCTGCCACCCGCACGACCAACCAGGGCCGGGGACAAACTGCAACCGAGGTACATGCCCTTAGCGGGAACCGAATCCGGGTCTCTCGGGACCACAGGCCGACGCTCTAATCGCTGAGCCAAACCGGCCAGGGCGAGTCATGCTTTCTTATCCAATCAGC